AGGAAACCGATGTTCCACTGTCTTTGATATTATTATAGTCTCTGCCCATAAGCGTCTGAAGTGATGCATGTGGAAAAGCGGTTGCGGTAAAGGTAGCTTCTCTATGGGGCTTTTGTTGGGCTAGATGCACATATGTGTGGCTTAGTCATCAAGAGAGTAAAGCTGGACACACTTGAGGCTTCAACTTTATTGGACCCACAATAGGTTGGCAGCGCCCCAAATAAGTTATTGTAATGCTCTTGGCAGCATCAGTGATAAACATGTCTGGTCAGTCCTCTGGTTTTCCCCAATAAACACTCTTCATCATACAGTTTTAATGAAAACGCTAACCTGTTCTTGGTTATAAATTATTCACCACACTGCTCTCACATTGAACCCAGCAAAGGTTGCCTTCTAGAGTAGTAAAAAAGCAGGAAAATAAGATGCTGAAAACTCTAAATTGAGCCCAAACTTTGCTGTGCTGGTTGCAGGGACACAAAAGGTCAATATGTGGTTCTCAAGCTAAATATTGATGCAAAGTAAAAAGTAAAATCTCAGCCTCACAAGACAAGTAAGGAACAAAGTCGGATGTACAAGCTTGAAATCTAGTTTTACAATATTAATAGAATTCCAAATTGAAAACCATTATAGTCTTGGTGTAAACAGTGTTTGACCAACAAGATAATCTCAAAGAAAAACTGCACCACTTTAAAATGATCATGAAAAACGGAACAGCTCTGCTTTTCCTACCTGCAGAACGTAGTCAGAGGCAAGTTCTTTAGTTTGCCATCTCACATTGGGGGTGGGACTTCCTGTCACATGACATTCAAACGTGAGGTTCCCCCCCTCTTGAGTCTTCAGTTGAGATGAGGATATGGTCACTTCAGGCAAACCTGAGATCAGCGAAGAAGACAGGATGAGCCTAACTAGTAAATCAACACTTATTTTACCAACAGTTTAGACAATTTGGAAAACCATTAACAGTGGTTAAAACTATGACTTAAAGGCAAAGCAAATAAAGTTTATATTACCTAGTGTTGTGCCAATGTCATTTTTTGGCACCGATACCATCTGTTTGAAATTGATGTGTGTGTGTATATGTATATGAAGAACTACATACTACTGGGAGGTAAAATAGTTGCCATCATGGTTTTGTCAAGCTGCTGCCTACCTTTGTAAAGCAGGAAAAAGATTAATACAAAGTGAAATTGATGCAAACTGCCCGATACTTGTATCTGTATTGGTGCAACACTAATATTACCTATAAGGGGTTGTTATTTTTAAGCAAAGGCCGAACAAAACACAATGAAAGCAACTAAGCATTGATATGTTTAAAATTGGCAAATCAAGCTTCATATGGCTTAAAACTTTATATATTAATGGAAAATTCCGGTCATATTCAGAATTCAAACTTCTGAAAGTACTTTAGATATGAAATTATTACATACTGTTCAATAAATGATAAGTGTTTTTAATTAAGAGTAATTTTCATTTGAATGAGGCTTCGATGTTTGTCTAAGAACACTACTGCCACCTACTGGTTTGTGACGTCACGGTGCGGTATCGGCTGTTGATCAAGTCCCAGTGCTGTATCGTCCTATTATCCAAGTCAT